TCTCGGCTCACTGCAAGCTCCGCCTCCCGGGTTCACGCCATTCTTCTGCCTCAGCCTCCCGAGTAGCTGGGACTACAGGCGCCCAACACCACGCCCGGATAATTTTTTGTATTTTTAGTAGAGACGGGGTTTCACCAGATTAGCCAGGATGGTCTCGATCTCCTGACCTCGTGATCCGCCCGCCTCGGCTTCCCAAAGTGCTGGGATTAGAGGCGTGAGCCACCGCGCCCGGCCTATTATCTCATTTTTATGGAAGTAACTGAGGCTCAAAGAGGTGCATCACTTTGGATAGTCAAGGTTCACACAGTGTGCAGTGCTGGCTTAGGGTGCCGACCTGGCAGCCCAGCTCCAGAACTCCCAATTCCTAACCTTCAAAGGACAGGTCTAAGGTATGTTAATTTAGACGCTGACAGGAAAGGGAAACAAATGTAGAACAATCAGGGTTTGTAATCATTTATTTTTTATTTCTTGAGAGGGAGTCTTGTTCTGTCACTCAGACTATAGTGCAATGGCGCCATCTCGGCTCATTGCAACCTCCGCCTCCTGGGTTCATGCGATTCTCCTGCCTCAGCCTCCCGAGTAGCTGGGACTATAGGCGCCCGCCACCACTCCCGGCTAATTTTTGTATTTTTAGTAGAGACGGTTTTCACCATGTTGGCCAGGCTACTCTCAAACTCCTGACCTCAGTTGATCCACTCACCATGGTGCAATTGTTTATTAAATTACCTGGAGAAGTCATATTTCAAATGTTAACAAATAGATTAAAAACTAGCCTCAGGGCCACGTACCCTGGCTCATGCCTGTAATTCCGGCACTTTGGGAGGCCGAGGCAGGCAGATCACCTGAGGTTAGGAGTTCGAGACCAGCCTGGCCAACATGGTAAAACCTTGTCTCTACTAAAAATACAAAAATTAGCTGGGCATGGTGACACACGTCTGTAGTCCCAGATACTCGGGAGGCTGAGGCAGGAGAATCGCTTGAACTGAGGAGGCAGAGGTTGCAGTGAGCTGAGATCATACCACTGCACTCCAGCCTGGGCAACGAAGCAAGACTTCATCTCCAAAAAAAAAACCACAAAAAAAAAAACACCCAAAAAAACAAACAAAAACTAGCCTCAGATCTTAAATTAAGTGTCAAGAGTTAAAAACACAACTCCCAGTGATTAAACTCCAAACTTGTTAAAGATCACTATTCATGTTTTCTTTAGAGCCTCTAGAAAGCTAGTTTCTACATGGGCCTCAGATTATTCACCTACCAAAGTTCAGCCTACAGTGATTGCCAGGTAAGAAAACTAAAGAAGTCACTTGGTCCACAATTCAAGAGCTGACGCAATCTTAACTACACCAGCGTGAAGAGTCACTATAATCTACTTTGACAGCCTCCCCAACTCCAACTATTTTCATAAAAAAAAAATTAAAAGATGGTTCTGTTTTAAATAGAATTTCTGCTAAATAACTATTATCTGAGAAATACATATTATTTGTAAGCAGTGGGTAGTAATGGAATGGAACCAAGAGTCAGCTTTTGAAGCAGGAAGCTAAGGCATCATTTTGTAATGCCTGAAGTGATTTTTAAAACTCATCTAAATACCATTAAACATCTGCCCTTTTTATTTCATTGATTTAAACCATTTCTGAAGACTCATGATTCAAAAAGGTAAAGATGGTAATTTAAAAGCCATGGGGAAAAATCTCTCCCCAGGGAACTTTTCAGAAAAGCAGCCACCAGTCTCTGATAAGTGATGAATCTGTTGTGGAATTGCTTTCAGTACAGTATAAATTTATCTGGCATTATCTCACAGTAATGCACGCATCATTTCACTGGAAGCAAAGATACGATGGCCATAGGAGCAAACAAAGCAGGGAAACAGGAGAGCAGGGCAGAGAGCAGCAGGTTCCCTGGCTTCAGATGGGAAAATCTCTGTGCCAACATTTACCATTACAAACAATTTAACAAGATAAACACTGTTTGCAAATTCAATTTAATGAACCGGGAAGACAATTTTGAATGAAGGAGTCAATGATAGTTTTTGAGTCTTTTGGGGGAGTGTATAACTAAATGTTATAAATAACAATCTTAAACAATCATGAACAGGAACAGGTTGTCAGGGGAGTGGTTTACCAATATCAGATTTTTAAAAGTTCACTTGCAGGATGCTTCCTATTTTCTGTATTTAATTTAATAATATTATTTTAAAATGTGAAGCAACTTTTTTTT